ATAGTCTTTCAAAAAGGGTCTATAAAAATTGCAGAAGTCAAGAAAGAATTATACTCCTTTAAGCGTTGCCGGTGGCTTCTAGTTTTTAATAGTAGCAACCTTCTCTAGATCCATAGCAATTCCTGACGTACTAATGATAAATCCAAGGAATTTTATGGACGTGACGTTGAACTCGCTTTTATGAATATCCACTTACAGGCCAGCTTTGCCTAGTCGTTCAAGAACCTTGCGGACGTGCACATCATGCTCTAGCGGGTCTTTAGAGTAGATAAGAATATCGTCCATAAAAGCAGTGCAAAAGTCGTCAAGGTAGTCAAATAGAACGTTATTAATATATCGTTAGAAGGAGGCAGGCCCATTACAGAGGCCAAATAGTAGCACGCGGTATTTGTAGGAGCCGTACCTTATTCAGAACGTGGTAAGATCCTCCACTAATTCTTTTAACCAAATGCGATAGAATGCTTGCCTGATATCCAATTAGGTGAAGATGCGCGCGCAGGAGAGCCAAGCCAAGGTCTCTTTAATAAGAGAAAGTAGGTAACGGTCTTTCTTAGTAATTACATTAAGCTTCCGATAGTCAACACAAAAGCGCCACCCCCCTCCAGGCTTCTTGGCAAAAAGCACTAGTACAGCAAAAGGGGCGTCGCTTGGAACGATAAAGCCTTTTTACAGGTGATTTTAAAGGTAGGCTTTAACAAGCTCTAGCTGCTCAAGCGACATGTTATAGAGAGGACTTAGAGAAAGCTCTCTACTAGCATCTTCTTCTAAGATAATATCGTGGTCGACACCGTCACAATATAGTAGCAAGGTATCAGACGCTGCTTACAAGAATACCTAATCCAGATCACTTTAGGCCATAGGGAGCTTCTCCTTAATAAGCTCTCATAGCTCCTCAGCGTCGTCCTTTAGTGCGTCCTCTTAACATCAGTCATTAATAAGCTAGTTAATCTCATACAAGCTAGTTACTCTAATTACTACATGTTTTCTTTTGGCGCCATGTAGAAACGATTGTTCTTCAAGCAGAGCAAGATTAATTCCTGCTCCGCTACGTTGCGTAGGGCCAGTTCATTTCCTTCTAATTATTAGCGGAGTTTTGACAGGTAATAGGGGGTATAGTTACTCGTCCATCTTGCGTAGGTTGTCGCGCTGATCCATCTGCCACAAAGTACATATTAGCGTGAATATGACTGAAGCTTACTGCCTTTATAAGAGCGTGATAGAAGCTTGCTGCTCTAGTAAGGATTTGATAGTTGCTACCTCTAGCAGCTTATCTCACCTATCGGTATCCTTTTAGTGTGCTAGATTAATTGTAGGCCTCATAAACACACTATGAGATATCATAATATCGCGTTTAGCATCGATTTTAGCATCGTCCGGCCAGACTATTTGTTGGTTAAGAGGGTCTGGCATTGCTTTTATCAATTCAAACCATTTTCGGCCTATAATCAGGTCGTGACGCCTAGTGTTGTAAAAGATAAACCATGTGGTAATACGACGCTCGTTAATCACCAGTTGGGCTAGAAAGAACTGATTAACTACACCCGTTTATTAATTATTGTGCCCTGCTACAGGAACGCTTTTACGTGAACGGTAGAACGTAGGCTTAAGACGCTCCTTAACAACTTAGTAGAGTCAAGAATAGACAAAGACTGTGCCTCCAGCTCCTGTATCTAGCAACCTAGAGACGTTAATTACCACGCCGTCAAGAGCAATTCAACACTTCATTATAAAAGCAGGACCACCAATTATGTCGCTTAAGCGTGTGGGTGCGCTGGTTACTCCAATAGAGAACCCTAGGCAGAAGACTTTACCTAGAGCGATTCGTTTTCCGAGCTTTCGACAGGCTCTAGGACGTCGTCTGAGTATTCAACGTACTCTTCCTAATCAACTGCTTTGTTCTTGATTCTCTTAGGCATTAAGCAATCGCGCGAGAGATGACCGGGTTTACCACAGCTATAGCAGGTTTGCCTGGTAAGCAAGGCTGGGGTAATTGCTGGTTTGACATCAAGAGCAGGCGCAGGTTTGCTCTTCTCAATACTTCTTGGTGGGCTTCTCTTGGCTTGGAGCAGCACTCTACGCTCTGTACGCTCGCGATTGAATCGGGCTAGTCCTCATACCATGTGCTAAGCCTTATTGCAATACATCTCAAAGGTGCAGTACTCCTGGGCGTATTTGCTTTCCATGTGCGTGCGTAGTTCGCTATACAGCATCTCATAAAGGTCCTCCTTCCACTGGTCTTGTGGCGTCCTGGCGAGATTGGCGAGCCGCATGAAGTTTGCTAGGAACTGGTTGAAATCGTTGGACGGCTTCATCCTAAGAGACCTGAGCTCTTGTCGCGCCTTGATGCGTTGGTCAGGGTCTTCAAAGACGCTCTGGAGGTACTGTATCACGTCTTCTACAGTAACGTCTTCTCCTAGGTCTTCTCTGGCGTTAAGAAAAGGATTAAGAAAATTGCTGGCTTTGCCGGCGATGCGGGTCTGGATGTAAGCCACTCGCGCTGCCTCCGTAGCGTCCGGATTGTTGCATTCATACCAGTCAGCATTGAGCCTGAGCTTGTTTCTCATCTGCTTGTTCCAGTTCTTGAAGGTCGGGTTGGCGCCGTCGTCGAGAATAGGCGGGTCAGGGAATTTGGCAGACCTCTTGCCCTGGGAGACACTTAGCTGGGTGGCGTACACTGATCCTGGGGTTCTTGGTTGTCGATTAGTTGCACCTGGCGTACGATATAGGGCAGGGCTTGATCCTCCGCGAAGAGAAGGGAACCTGGCATTCTGGCGTGTCTGTCGTTGCTTGGCAGGCTGCAACGGAGTTTCATCAGCCTCGGAGATTGCTTCTTCTTCTTCTTCCAGTGGTTGAATCGGCTTTGGCTGATGTCGAGCTTTCACAGCCTTCTCTGCTTGAGTCTCCACTTTGGATGGGCGCAGGGCTTCTGCAATCTCGCTCTCAGCATGTAGGGCATCGTTGGCAATGTGGAACAAAGTGTCGGTCTGCTGCTCTAGTGCTTTGATATAGAGGATTTGCTCATGAAGCTCGTTGGCAATCTCTGTCGGATCCATTTCGACCCATGTGGCGATGTCGGTGGACAGCGTTTGTCCATCCTTAGTACGCTTCTTGATGGTTATTGGGATGCTCTTATCTCTTGCTTGCTTTTCCAGACGTCTGAGCTTGCCTCGTCGGTCGTCTTCAAGCTCTCTTGTCGATATATAGAGGTGAAGTGGGGGTGTTCTCTGGATAAAGGGTAATGTCGTCATTGATGCTGATGCTTGGGAAGGCCCTCAGCTCCAGGGCGGTTGCTTTCACCATTTTGCCTTGCCTTGCACCACTGCAGAGTTCACAGGAATTACCACGAGGTTTAACGTTTTCAACTACACAAAGCAACCTGATGGCTACTATAACTCAGCAGGCTTGCAAGCAGGGGCCCGGGGGTGTAGATCGTCCTAACTCGGTTTACAACCGGGCAGTGCTAGCAGTGCTTGGCTTCCTAGCTCTTGCTCCTTCTTCTCCACTCAGCCGCCTCGTGACGCGCACTGAGATTGTTCTTGTGTGTATACTGGCCGTCTGCACGCTGCAGACGTAGTGACGCTTGTCTGTGGGTTGCTGTCGTCGTCGTCGTCGTCGTCGTCGTCGTCGCGATGAGAGCCTGCAGGAAGTGCGTCTCCTGAGGATGATCAGTGAATAAGTGTCTTGGTGAGAGCTCCTAGAGCCAGCCGCTTGCTGCTTTTTGGAGGTGACCAGAGATTCAAGAGCGATGAGAGCCTGTCGTAGGTTGATCGCTTTTGCCTGCCAATCCAGGGCTTCGTTACACTGCCTTGTAGTGCAATTGGGGTTGCCTAGCACGGTAGGACTTGAAAAGAGTAAGAAAAGTCGTCGGTGCTGCAAACTACGTTTGAGCGCTCGGTTTGACTGATATTATGTCGCCTTCACAGGCCAAAAGAGGGAGATACTAGAGTAATGTCACGGCCAGCATGAACCTATAGGCAATCGCAAGTGGTTGCGAGCAATAAGGCGCTGTATTGGAGCTACTCTAGTATGAAGAAGAGAAAAGAAGAAAGAGTGGAAAAAGAGAGAGAGGCAAGGCTTTTATAGAGCACTCTCAGGGTGCATGTGAAAGCGTAGCACGTGACTAATAACGTCATGTGTAACACGACGACGCGATAACGCGTAGTAACGCTTCCCGTGAGTGTGTCATGTGACGGGTCGTCACAGTTATTAAGCTTATTATCCTTATTAATATTGGTATTTAGTATAGTATTTTAAGAGATAGTCTACAGCTCTCTATTAAATAAATAATTTTATAATAAAGAAATCTTAAAACTGCGCTATTTTCTTTGACTCTGGAAATATTTCTTTTTTCTAATATCTTTATTATTTACTACTAAAGCTATAAAAGCATCCTGCTATTATTTCTGTGGACTCTAGCTATAAGATTTCGTTTTAAAAGAAAGTAGCTACTTATACTAATTTCCTAAAAGATTTAAAATACTTATCTCTTTATTACTAATATAGATATAAAGTTTCTGCTTAAGGCTCTACAGCATAAAATTAATAGATTAAGTAAAGATTATTTACGTGAATTGTACTAGAATATACTAAATAATAACGCTAATAAGTAACTCTAATAGTATATTATAATAGAGTCTCATAAGCTAAAGTGAAGACCCTAGAGCTAAAATATAAATAAAGAAAATAAATAACTTAAGAGCAATCATAAACCACTTCTGGTTAAAGATTATGTAAATATCTGAGTGAAGGAGTATAGTATTCTAGGTGTTATTAACGGGTTCAGATCCCGGGCGCTGCTGGTTTATGTATTAGAATATACTATTTTCACTAAACTAACGTTCTTTACTCCGTGGAACTAAGTGTATATGTTCCGTACCCTTGACATGATTTATTACGCGGCAGGAAACATCCTAAGCTAATATAGCTTCTGCTAAACTGCTTTAGCAAGGCAACTATCAGTCAAGAGAAAGCTTATAAGGCTTGCAGGAAGTCTATGATTTGGGTAGGTTATCATACAGGAAGCGCCAGTAGGCAAATGACGGGACTACGGGATATTTTTCTAAGTTCTTATTATTAATACATAAACTCAATTTATAGTAGCTTTCTGACTGCTTACTATTAGTAGCGTTTTCAGAAACCTGGAAATAGTAGTTTTTTCTACGCAGGATACCATCAGAGCCGACCGCAGTACGCCCACCCGTCTTTGTCTCTGTTAAGAATCCCTCCTATCTATTGTTGGCAAGAATAGCGCATGCGATTCGTGCAGTTTCGTGGTGGATACCGCCTTGAGGATGATCTAAAGCAGGAAGAACCATCAGGATGTTGCCCGTGTCGCTATACCCCGGATGACGTAGATAGACTCTATGGTTGAGGTCCGTTGGGAGATTCTGCCCGCCATCTTCGTGCGAAGGTGTTTTGTACTGTGAACGGGGTCGTAGAGTGTCGCAAGGCATATATCCAATCAATAATCATAAGAGGTGATGGTGTAATGCATAGATGGGTTGACTGATCTAATAGCATGCAAAGTGATGTTGTGGTGTTGCGACCTGCTCATGGGTGCAAAACAAGACAGCAGTCGTCACGCCAACGCGGCCGCAAAGGCGGGCATAACAAGGCTGAGGTAAGGCTTAGCATTTATTAGCGAACTCTAACCTCAATTCATACGACCAGTAAACGACACTCCCTACCAAACACATCTACAGTATGATATTCACATAGACTTTCAGAGGTGTTTGCAATATAGATATAACCGTATGTCATGCCAGGCGTTGGGCCGCATTGCAAAGCTGAATGGTGATCATCACGAGAACTTGTTGGGTTCGGAAGTTTCATCTGAAAGGCTAAAATTAATAAAGCATAGTCCCTAAATTCTTAGCACCCTAAACTCGACCTCATCATCACCAAGTTGTTACACATGCCATACCAGACTAGATTGCCCTTATTGTACCCTCTGCCACTTTCGTCCGTTACCTTACTTACCTAATTCATCACCCTGAACCCGCAACGCCTCGAATTTGGATCGCGAGTCAATGGAGCCGGTAAGCATTTTCTAGCCGCTCTGATGGAGTCTCTGGAACATGGGAGCAGGAATAGCCTTAATTCTCACATGGAACCCTACTTTTATTAAGGCCGGCAGGTGCCCCAGCCTCTACACACAGTACTTTGGCACATGTAACCTACTCGTTAACTCCCGATTCCCTAAGGTCGCCCCAGGCGCATCGGAAATAAAACCCAAGGCCGTTATCGCAAACGATATATTACCTGCATTAAAGACGGAATCCGACGCAGACGAAGCGAATGATGTATTATTTGATATCTGTAAACCTTGGGGATCTTGGCGGGGTACGTAATCGCGAATATTGGGTGGAAGTTTTGATTTACAACCCCACAAGGCTATTTTGAGTTGAAATTAATAATACCATATAGTTGTAAGTCTGATACACTAAGTATTTTCGAAATATAATGGTTGACTAGTTAAGGTCAAAGAGTTCGATAAACAGACATGTCATGTGTACTATAACATTTGTTGAGTGGAAGGGGTGTGGTTGTTTAATACGTGAAGATGTTGTAAAGTGCCCGCGAAAGCCTAATGATCTTGGCATATATGTGCAGACGTCGTTCACCATCCCGCCGGTATCATTCTGCGCCTATTTCTTATCTTGGTTGGCAGTCTCTAGGCAGCCGCTTTCTAGAGGAAACGCTCGGATGGATGCCTGGAGTGACCCCGCTCTATTTGGCTTGAACTGGTGCAATCCAGAGTTCGACGCTGAAGAAGAGCGGCGTTCGCGAATGACGCCCGAAGAAAAGATGGCGGAGAATGGGTTACGCTTGCGACGTCGACTCGAGAGTGAGTCCGCATTAGTGGCCCTGCTACAGCCAGCTCCACCTGGGTATATGGGACGAGCATGATGCCGAGCCGACTACTGTTCCTCCGCAGAGCAAGCGGGAGAATTGGGGATCGAGATCAAGGTTGGCTATCGGATTGTGCTCGGTACACAGCCGTGGGAGTATTTCCACATATCCTGTCTTGAGAAAATGCTCGACCTGCCTTCGCTTGCTTGGCCTTAGACATGGGGCTTGATGTTACGGGAACAGTTCGAACATGGTGGCTGTATCAACCTAGGCCCATAAAAGGTACGAAAAGGAAGATGGTGATTATGATGCAGCTTGGATTGAATGGCAACTGGCGCATCAGCGCAAATGTAATGGCGATGAGGAAGTTTGCAAATGCCCTCCGCCGCCGGAAGCACCAGGTAGAGCCGTTTCTAAAGCATTATCAAACGAAGAAAAGCGATGTGTGAAATGGAACCTAAAGCCAGAAAATAGACCCTCAAGCTAAAGAAAGCCATCGATTTCTGAAAACAAGAATATTCTTAAGCCCCCACCCTCACCGGCGCCTCCGCACCGCAGTTCTGTCCTTTAATTTTATAGAATAGTGCACCTGAAGTGATCTAATAGTCCTTTCTGAAAAGCGCTTTCTGATCCGTTCCTATGGTAGATTTTGTCCCTTCTTTAATTCAATAAGCAGCGTGTCTTCCTCTGCTGTAAACCTGGACTTGGGCCTTAGCCTTTAGGCATGCTTGACAGAATTAACCGGTGAAGAGGGTTGATGATGATGATGATTTAGGCTGAATTCTATAGCGTACCGCCCGTTTTTCTTGTATTAGAGGAAGCTCTGGATTGGCTATTCTCCCTTATTAGCATATGATGCTACTTTTGAGGCTGCTTTATCAAACTTAGGAAGATAGTCTGTTAAGGTCAGCTTTCAGGCATAATAGGAGCTACGTTTGGGGTATGTAAGAGGCTTATAGAGATTACTGGTATATACAGTACTCCGGTCAGACTCGTGTACAGATAAAGTAGAATAGTGATATTATTAGGCATGAAGCTGTGTAGCACGCTTTAAGGCTGTATTACTATAGATAGATATAGAAAGCCTCTGTTGCTTTACATACCTATGGTCTTTATAGTCCTTATTGTCGCTATTGTTATTATCGTTCTTACTAGAGCTAAAGCTAGTCTCTTTCTTATTCTTATTCTCATTATTATTATTATTATTATTATTATCATCACCGTCCTCTTTCTCTTCTTTGGTTGAGTTATTAATAAGATCGTTAAGGCTGTAATTATAACTACTATTACTAACTCTATTATATAATAATCTTATATTACTAAAAGAAATAAATACTTAATAGAAAGAGATAGTGCGCGGCGTAGTAAACACTATTTATTTATTTTTAATATAATTATTATTAATATTATAATTATTATTATTAGAATTATAATTCGTCCCTTCGTGTAGTAATTAAGAGTTAATAAGTAAGTTTTTATAGAGAGTAGGTAACTTTTATTACTTCTAAAGCTATAAACTCTAGCTATTCTCTTTACTATCTTTAATAGAAGTATTAGACTTATAATTAGTATTTTTAGATTAATTAAGCTAATTAAATTTCTACTTATTTAAAATTAATAATAGTTTATTATTTGTGTTTACTTTATTATAATTACTTTTTCTTTCAACTAGCAGGATATCTACGTGTATGAATATTAATTTAAAATTATAATAATATATAGTCTCTATAACTTACTAGGGCTCTTAGTATTTTTAATTCTTAAAAACTATTAATTAGTAAGTACGTATGTTTTAAGTTTTTATCTAAATTATAACACAATTACCGTATTAATACTCTTAAGTGGATTATTAGTATAATTATTATTTAATACCATAAGTTTAGTATGTGCCTGAAGAGAAGACATGTATTAAAAAATTTCTTTTAATAAAAAAAGCTTTCTACTACTACTACTATTTCTATTATTTACTAGTTATTAAATAGGACTATTATAATATGAGTGAAAGTATATATTTAAATTAAAAAATTTAGTATAAGCACTAGCTTTACTACTAGCTTTCTTTTTTTCAGTTTCTAAATCTGAATTAGCTTTATTATTTCTAATACTTATAAAATTTCCTACTAGCTATTAGATATACTTATTTATTACTATTAGAAGAAAAGAGAGGAGTATTTTATATAAAATAACTACCTTTACTATTCTCTTTCTTAACTTAATAGTAATTATAAAGCTTATTAACGTGCTTATTCTTATCATCTATATATAATAAATTAGGCCCAAAATCTTTTAAATTAAGATATATAGTATAACGTGCCTGAAAATAGAGATTTAGATAACTTTTTTATATTTATTATTAGCTTTAAAAGTCTTTTTTATTATGTTATCTTTTTTTTAGAGTTACTAATTAGCCTTTTCTTAAGTACTATAAGTATATAATTTAGGTAAGAGACTATTAGGTTATTAGAAAAGCCTATATAGAAATTAATATCATTAAGCGAAATCTCTAGAGGCTTATGGAAAAATTAAGAAATTATAACTATTATTACTATTATTCTGCTGTTAGTGTGCTGTAGTACTAGCTAAAGTTATTTTATATTTTTCTAAATAAAAAAAAAGGGTATAAGAGTTTAAGTATATATTAATTTTCTATTTACTATTAATCTTTAAACACTAAGATAATACCTATTTATAGTATCTTTAGTTTTTTAATAAATTAAAGCATGATGTGCATATATTTAATATAGTATAATTTAAACTTAATTATATAAATATTATTATAGCTTAAACCTGCCGCCTAACTAGCTTTTTAAAAAGATATAATTAAGTTATTTTTATTTATTTAACTTTATATATTTAGCTCTAATACTACTGCTATATTAAGCCTTCTTATTAGAGTATTAATAGCAAAATAAATTTCTACCTTTATTTATTAAATAGAGATATATGTTAACGTGATTACTTTAAATCTAACTAAAAAAAATAAACCTTTCTATACTACTATATTAGTAGAATAAAGTATACTTAGTATATTTTATATTTTATTTTAGTTTATATAATATTACCTATAATAGTGTTAACATAAGCAGGCTGTATTATAAATTATAGCTATAAAAATAATATAACTTAAGTAATACTAGTATTTTATTTGTCTTCTACTTTTAGGCTGTTATAATCTCTATTTTATAATCCTATAGCTACTTAATTCCTAGAATACTTATAAAGTCCCTACTAATTATATTATAATATTATAACTATATTATATAGGATATGTAAGGTGAAGTATTCTGAAATTATAAAAATAAAATTAATATCTTAAGTAGCCAGCTATATTATTACTGAGATTTAGATTTAATTTAAGTGTAATAAATAATAGTATAAATTAGCAAGCGTATTTAACTAAAAGAGCAGAATATAATATAAATAATTAGAGTTAAAATAATAGTATAAGTGTTATATATTCTTTAACTAAAATATATATAAAGTAGTGCGTAATAGATACCTCAGTAATAAAAAAAAAAAAAAAGAAATTACTTTATACTATCCTTTTATAAGGCTATATTTTTAGATAATTGGAGCTATTAAAACAT